TTCCCAGGAAATCTGGGGTGCTCTGCTCTCCAGGCAGAGGGGAGACCTTGAGCACAGAGTGTCCCTGCCACTCCACCACCTCTGGGCTCTGGGCTGCAAAGAGAACAGCCTGAGGACGTCTAGCCCGGGACGCTTCACGCTGCAGAGGCACCTGTGGCACCCCCACTTGCTCCTCTCTCTCAACCACTCCTTTCTGATTTCCCCACCTGGGTCAGGCCCTGCAGGCTTCACTCTCCCGCTTTCCTGTTTCTCGCGTGCCCAGTGGGGGTCGGTCTCATGGTCAGTGCACCTGGTCAGCAGGGGCTGGGAGTCCTGGGTGAGCTGCTTCCCCCTGCTCTCCTCCTTCTCTCCCAGAGGAGCACGGGCTCAGATCCTCCATAGCTGCTAAGCCCAGCACCTAACAATAGCTCTGGGGCTGGGCAAACTCGCTGGTCCTGGTGAGGACTCGGCTTTCCCAGGCCTGTGAAAGGGCATGATAATTCCACCCTGACCATGGGTTCTTTTTTTTTTTTTGAAATTTATTTTTTATTTACTTGAAAGGCACAGTTAGAGAGAGAGAGAGAGTGATGTCTTCCATCCTCTGATTCACTCCCCAAACGGCTGCAATGGCTGGGGCTGGGCCAGTTGAAACCAGGAGCCTGGAGCTTCTTCTAGCTCTCCCAAGTAGGTGCAGGGGCCCAAGCACTTGAGCCATCTTCCACTGCTTTTCCCTGGTGCGTCAGCAGGGAGCTAGATCAGAAGTGGACCAGCCCAGCCTCGAACAAGCACCCATATGGGATGCTGGCGTCGCAGGTGGAGGTTTAACCTGATACGCCACAATGCCGGCCCCTACCACAGGGTTTTGAGAGCAGGAGACTTAGGGCAGATAAGCAGCTAGATGTAGCAGGGGGTTCTGTTATTAGAGAAGCCAGACTCTTTCCCTTAAAGAGAGTGTGTACGACAGCATTCAAGAACCCTGAAGAAGGGGGCCCTGACCTGTGGCAGAGGAAGGGGTGGGCATCATGACCCAGGGAGCTGGCATGGGTCTGTGCTCCAGAGTAAGGCTGAGGAGGACGTGCACTGACAGCACACAAGGCCACACTCAGCTCGATTCTGTCGGCCAACCACCTGCCCCCACCAGACTCTCCCAGCCAGCCACAGAGCAGCCCCGAGCGCCCCCTCAACAGTCATTCATCTGGAAGGCCCACTGGATTCCCTTCCGTTCAAGCAAAGTCAGATCCTCATCCCGGCATTTGCTCTGCTGCCCTGGCAATTTGCGGGTTGGAATCTGAGTGCACATCCTTCATGGCTCGTTTCCCCCGTCCCAGCCACAGATGCTGGGAAGGGAGAGAATGCAAAGGCCCAGTCCAGCTGAGCACCTTACACCTGCCACAGGCCCTCCCACAGCCACTGCCTGCGGGTTCATGGCAGCCCCTGGAAGGCGCTCAGGAGGACAGAGGTTTAACAGTGCTTTGCAGCACAGGGCACGCACAAGCCAGGGGCTGGCCCAGGAGCTCAGGTGTTGGTCTTCACATTTCTGTTGGGTACTGGCTGAACCAGTTAAACTAGTCTTGCCTAAGTTATTTCTTTTTTTTAATGTCTGGCAGGCAGCTACTGGAGGCTTCCAGCTATGCGTAGGCTCAGGCCAACTCTCTTAATAAGAAAAATACTACTTTCTATCTGCCTCATTTGGGAGGGTTCTACTTTTTTCCTTTGGTGGTTAACTGAATTTCATCTTATGTAACCATCGTAAATTTTCCGAAAACTTGCCCAGCTGATGCCAGCAACTGCAGAAAGTGCGCGAGTGCAGACGGGAAGGACCCAGGCTGCGAGTTCTAGCGCATCCTCCGAAGAGAAGAGAACGTCTATCCTCTGAGAAGACCTCGCCTTGCCCCTTCCCAGAGAGACGCCAGGAGCTCAAGCCTCAGAGACTCAAGTCTTTTCCCCCATCTCCCCCACCCCTTTTTTTTTTTTTAAATAGAGAAGGTAACATGAAGCAGGTGAGGCCAGGCTGATGAGCAATCAGGGGCAAGACACGTTCCTGGAAAAGCAACCAAACCCAGAGCTCCTGCTAGTGACCCTGAGAGACTCTGCTTTTAGCTAAACTAGACCAGGCCCCACTCCACACACAAACCTGGGCGCCTATGCCGTCCTCTGACCGGAAAGGTCAGGTGTCTGAGAAGAAACAAGGACTACAGACGAGGAGCGTGCATGTATGTGTGTTCTCTCTCTCTCTCTCTCTCTCTCTCTCTCTCTCTCTCTCTCTCTCTCTCTCTCTCTCGTCAAGCACCAGGGAGAGACTGGGAGATAAGAACAGCGGGAGCGGCCGGCACTGCAGCTCACTAGGCTAATTCTCCGCCTTGTGGCACCGGCACACTGGGTTCTAGTCCCGGTCGGGGCACCGGATTCTGTCCCGGTTGCCCCTCTTCCAGGCCAGCTCTCTGCTGTGGCCAGGGAAGTGCCGTGGAGGATGGCCCAAGTGCTTGGGCCCTGCACCCCATGGGAGACCAGGAGAAGCACCTGGTTCCTGCCTTTGGATCAGCGCAGTGCGCTGGCGGCAGCCATTGGAGGGTGAACCAACGGCAAAGGAAGACCTTTCTCTCTGTCTCTCTCTCTCACTGTCCACTCTGTCAAAAAGAAAAAAAAAAAAAAACCACAGCCGGAGCGGTGCTCAGGCTGCCAGCCAAGCTGCCTTCCCCTAAGGGGGGCTTCTGTGGGGTCTGCACCCGCCAGGCCTCCTGGGTCCTCCCCGCCAGCGGGTGCCAGTGGGGAGGGGATGACCAACAAGTGCGGACTCAGAGGAGCACGCAGAGACGCTTGTCTCCCTCTCCCAGGAGGCTCTCCAGGGTCTGCAGGGCCTCACCTGCCCGGCCCCGCAGGAGCGCATGGGGAGGGCCGCTCCTGACTTCGGGGACTCTCCACAGCAGCTCCTGCAACGTTCTCCCTGATGACTCCGAGAGCCGAGGCCTCTTGGGCAGAGCCCTTCTGAGGCTTCTTTGTTTCCTTCTGACAGCAGAGGCAGTGTCTACAGAGAAGTCTCGCAGCAACCCACAGGACAAAAAGGGGTCTCATGAGGTCTCGCCACATGTGAGGAAGGAGAGAGGCTGCAGCTGGGAAGGCTGTGCGACGCGGATGGCCAAGCGGGACAAAGCCGCGCCTGGGCCTCCTCTGCAGGAGACACCCCAACAACGACGGGAAGCTCCGCTCCAGAGGCACCAGGCGTGTGGCGTGGCAGCACCCAGGGGCCAAGGAAAGGCTGCCTGCTGGGGAGGAGGGGCTTCCTGGACCCAAGACAGGATAGGAGGGGGAAGGGAACACCACAGGCTGAGGCGGGGCTGTGACCTGCGCTGCAGCCGGGCTAACCTGAGCAGTACCCATCAGACGGCATGCAGCTGAGGGAAGTAGGTGACATGCCTGCCCGCATCTGGGACCTTTTGACCAGGCAAGTGACCAAGAGATAACAGAAAGATGTATTTTCAGGACAGCTGGGGTCAGATTCCTCCAGTCTCATTCCCAGGAGTGCTCTGGAATCACGAGCCTCCCCCCCCCCCCCCCCGGCTGATGGTGTAGGGGTGGGGAGGAGCACACTGGGGCTGGGGAACCTGTGCAGCAGACGTCCCAGGAGATGCTCACGGTCAGGAAGAGGGGGTAAGGAGGGTGGTGACGAACGAGTCCTCAGACCTCTCAGCAACTCGGGAGTTCTCTTCCTGACCGTGGCTCGGACTTTACCCAGAAGGCAGGAGGTGTGCTGGGATCCACGGTCAATCTCTGAGGAACGTACTTTAGAGGACAGACGGAACCCACGGGACTGGAAAACCACACGGCCCCAGCGGCACAGGCTGAGCGGCAGGGGGCAGTTAGTCTACTGGGCAAACCTGCGGAGCAGTAGGGTAGGCTACCGCTTGGGATGCCTGGATCCCATACAGAAGTGCTGGCTCGAGTGCCAGTTGTTCTTCCTCCAATCCAGCTCCCTGCTAATGTGCACTTGGATGGAGGCTGATTGATGGCTAAAGGGTTTGGGCCCCTGCCACCCACGTGGCAGGCCCGCATGGAGTTTCTGGCTCCTGGCTATGGCCTGGCCCAGCCCTGGCTGTTGTGGGCATTTGGGGGAGGGAACCAGTGGATGGAAGATTTCTCTCTCTCTGCCTTTCAAGTAATGAAAATAAATAAATAAACATTAAAAAAGAAAAAAGAATCCCTTGATGGTGTTGTCTACAATGATAGCTTCCACCTCCTAAGCCCCAACCATGGAGTTCTGCACCAAGGGCTCTGTGTACCCTGCCCTTCCCAGCCCTCACAGTCCCGAGAACCAGGCAGGGCCACCCCCAGTTCTGGACCAGAGAACTGAGGCTCCACGAAGCAGGACAACTCATGTGAGACCCAGTCAGTGAGTGGTGGAGGGCATCTGCACTCAGACCAGCGAGAACTCCAATGCTTACAGCACGCCACACTCTCCTCTGTCCCCAGAGATGCCATGTTAGCATGACCTGGTGTCATGGAGCGCCTAGCCCCATGATCCTAGTCCTTGCCATACTCAAGCAGCCTCCCAGGCAGGAGCCTTGGTGGGACAAGACGGTAGAGTCAGCATTTTAGTTCCCAGAGCGCCCCTGGATGCGCTTACTTCCTCGAATTCTCTGCCAGAGCCACAGGTGCTCCCCTGAATTGCAAAGCAGGAAGAGATTACCAGGCGTCCTGGCACCCGTGCGCCTTCCCAGCACATCCCTGAGGAGAAAGGCTGCTCCCCACCGGCCCCTCTGTTGACTCCTCCAGTGAGTCCAGCTACGTTGGGACCCAGCACAGTCAGGTGTGCACATAGGTGAGGAAATGGCTGTGTCTCCCAACCAGAGGCTACAAAACCAAGGGCACAGACAGAAGAAAACTGAGCCACCAAGGGCCTTCCCAGTGCCATGGACTTGAGAGCCAGTTCCTCACCACGCAGCTGTTCCTACTGGAAGGTGGGGTGGAGATGTTGCATGGATCCACCCTTTGTCAGAGGCTGGGGAAGCCGGCCGAGCCCTTACCATTGTAGGAGAGGCGAGGTTTGCTCAGACACATTATAAAGTGCATTTCCATCTCATCGGAAGCCACAGACTTGGAGCAAATGGGGCACTTGAAACCTGAAAGAGACAGAAACAGGATGAAAGGTCTGCTCCAAACCCAGGATGTCCACAGAAGACATGGACGAGCTCCCATGACCAAAGCCACGTAGGGTCAGAGTCAATGTGGAGAATGACAACCTGGACAGACCCCAGACCCAACTTCCTCTTCATTAAATCACTCGAGGTTTGCCTTTTTATCACAGCTTTGGACTCCCAACTTTCGTGAAGGGTTTCCCCACCTTACGCCCCTTGTTAACAATTAACAGAGGTAACTGATACCCAATTTGAGTTCTGAGGTTTTTTTTTTGTTTGTTTGTTTGTTTTTTTAAGGCTCCTTCTCAAAGTGATCTAGTGGATGGTGGGATAGGGGGCAGCAAAGCAAGACACGCAGATAACCACCCTGCTCCACGGAGGCGCACCTGCATACCCTGCATACCCACCGCCTCCTTCACGGCCAAGGCAGCTGTCCTTTGAGAAGTGGGGTGGCACTCTAGTGCTTCCAAATGTTACTTCGTAACAGCTGTGGTGTGGTGCTAGGCAAACACAGGATACCATGGTCCTGTCCTTTTATTCCCAAGGAGGTTCTGGGTGCTTATACAACCAAAGAGTTTCATCAGAATTTATTGGTGAATTTTTGATTGAGAATCTTCTGAGCTGAATTCTATTAAGAAACCCTAAGCCTGAGGCTGGCGTTGTGGCACACTGGGATAAGCCACTGCCCACAATGCAGGCATCCTTTACGAGCACCGGCTCAAGTCCCAGCTGCTCCACTTCTGATCCAGCACCCTACTTACACACCACAGACAGCAGCGGAAGACAGCCCAAGTGCCTGGGCCCCTGCCACCCTTGTGGGAGACCCTGATGGAGTTTCTGGCTCCTGGTTTCAGTCTGGCCCAGCCCCAGCCATTGGCGCCATTTGAGGAGTGAACTGTTTTCTCCCTCTCTCGGTAACTATACCCTTCAAATAAAAAATAAATAAATAAATAAATAGATAGAAGAAGAAGAAGAAGAAGAAGGAAAGAAAACCTAATCTCGATCTATTTATTGAAATCAGTTTTAAATGGATCGATTCTTTCCCATGTAAATTCTCCCAAAGAGAGGCACCGCCACCGACAATCCCGCGTCTGGCAGTGCACATCATGGTCTCTCCGTTGTGGCGAGGGTGGCAGCTGCCCCTCCACCAACCCAGACTTCCTAACACGGCGCATCTCGCCACAGCTGTGAACATTTGACTCTTGTGCTCCCTTTCAGTTAAATTTCCTAACCACAGCTTTATTGGACACTGCTGATGACTGTCAACAACAGTTCTTATGAAATGGGACACAAGGCCAGGTACGCAGGTCAACTGCTAGAGGTTCAAGGACAGAGGCGTGAGCACTGTGCTCGGAACCTGCAGGTCCTCATCTTTTTATTGACAGTGCTTTGAGACCTGCAGGACCATACAGAACATTCAGGCTCTCGTAAATGCAGACGAAGTGGACCCTTCGCTCCCTGGCAGAGCTCCCGTGCTCCCAACCTTAGAAAGGGCCCTGGGTGGTTACAAACCCGTTACAACAAAACCAGAAGACCAAAAACAAACTTGGGGACAAAGGGGATCCCAACCCCCATTCTCTGGCAGAAATGGATCTAAAACACGCCAGGCTGATTATTTTTAACCCAGTTTAGCAATGTGCAGACCCAGCAACATGTGACGGAGACAAGAGGCCGTGGACTTGATTCTCATAGAAAGATCTTCATGTCTAACCTAAGTGCCTCTGCATTCACATAGGGTTTTCTTTTTATTTCCCAACTCAAAAGGCCAAGGTTTTGCAACATTTTAAAAGGCTACAAGCTGCTTGCTTTACACTTGCCACATTACAACCCTGTCTGCAGGCTGAGGGCTGTCCAGGATGACTGTGCCCCAGAACAAGCCCTCTGACCGCAGGCCCAGACACTGACACTGTGAGGTGGTAAAGTAATCTCATACCAACAAAAAGCCTTGCACCTCCTGTGCTACTTGCTTTGCTGATAACTCCCACTCCACTCCTGGAGTGCAGGGGGAGGGGCTGTCATAGCTAAGGTGCCGGGAAGCAGGTGATCCAACGAGAGGGTCTATAAGGGGATGTCACTGAGCATTTGTGCCCCGGAAATGAAAGATTCGAGATCCACAGGCTCAGAGGCTCTGGCAAGGCCTAAGCCACGCAAGGTCATACAACCCAGGAAGTGGAACTGAGACGAGGCTCCGATTTTTTTTTTTTTAAAGCTCTGAATCCAAAGTTCTTTCCATCAGGGAAGAAAGAGGGAGGTAGAGATAGATCACCCCTGGAGAGGAAGACCAACCGTAGGAAGATGAGAGACCCACATTTTAGCTAAAACAGTCACCCCTGCACCATCCATCTCTAGGTGTTTCTGTTTCATTTTGACAAAGCTCAAGGAAAAACTCAGGGCCTATTATGAGTGGGGTTTTCCAGCCTTAAGACCCTGGCAAATAATCTATCACCTAGACCTGTTTTCTCATTTGAAAAATGGTGGAATTTGCCTCATTCTTTCAAGAGATAAGAAGCAAGAAAGCACTCTGAAAAGAAGCTTAACAAACGCTGAGCGCAATCATCAGCGTCAAGCTTGGGGAAGGGGGAACAGGAGAGACCCAGCGTAGTGTGTGTAGGGGTGGCCAGCAGGCACCACACACCCACAGTCTCTACTGGATCCCAGTGAGCCACTACAGTGCCACCACTGTGGGCAGGCACCACACACCCACAGTCTCTGCTGGATCCCAGCGAGCCACTACAGTGCCACCACCACTGCGGGCAGGTACCACACACCCACAGTCTCTACTGGATCCCAGTGAGCCACTACAGTGCCACCACTGTGGGCAGGCACCACACACCCACAGTCTCTGCTGGATCCTGGCGAGCCACTACAGCGCCACCACCACTGTGGGCAGGCACCACACACCCACAGTCTCTGCTGGATCCTGGCGAGCCACTACAGCGCCACCACCACTGTGGACTCTTTCCACACTGCCAATGCAACAGCTGTCTCTAGCTTTTTGCGTATGGGAATAAACAACCACTGGCATTAGTTGAGTTGTTACTACGAACAGCCACTTTACTTTGAGTGTCTTATTTATGAGAACAGAAACATAAGGTAAGTATTGCCATCAACACTACTTTATAGATGAGCACATCGAGGCCCAGAAGATTAAGCAGCTTCTTCAAGGTTAAAGCAGCCAGGACGAACCAGAGCTGGCAGGACACCCATGGAGCCTGAGCCTTGAACCTGTGAGCCTCCTCATCACGCCATGCTCAGCCGAGCAGCACAGGAGGAGCAGACACAATGCCCAGAAGAACACAAGTTCGAGGCATCCACGAACACTCATTTCAAACCTTCCAAGTGGCCCCAGCAGTTTCTCCCTAAACGCTCAAGGCCTTGGATAATCACATAGTCTGAAAAAAAAGGGAAGTCTCTCTCTTTTCTTCTTTTTTAGAATTCTGTTAACAACATGGAAGGATGGAGTTCTGCTTTCCACTTGGCACTGAGCCTACAGCAGCTCTGGCTGTAAAATGCTGAGTCTGCAAACTACTTTTAAGTGGAAAATAAAGGGCAAAAGGTAAGAGGGACAGGAGAATATGAAGAGCTGAGGGGAAAAGCTCATGACCCCAGTCTTTCCCACAGGCCATCTGATGGTCAAGATGGATGCTGCTGCCCATCTGCCTGTAATCACTGAGGTACGACTCAGCACCAACAGCCCTGTGGCATGATAAATACTGTGATGTTTATGAGCCATCTGAAGGTTAGAGTGTCTAGGAAACTTTGATGCTGTTTTGGAAAAAAGTCCACGCCAAATGAAAATCAGGCCTGCAAACAAAGATAAACCAAAGGTGTGCAGAACCATTGCAGACACACGATCAGCCCCAGCAAACTCCCTCAGACACCTTCACCAGCACTCGGGAGGAGCGGCTAAGAGGTGCTTGATTTCGCTTCAGGAGGAAGCTACAAGCGGAGTCTTTAGGCTGCTCCCTAACACCACCTGCCCAGACTCTGCCCGACATGCCCTGGAGGCGAGGTGCTTCCTCATTCCCATGGGGTGCTCTGCACAGGTTGTAGCTGCCATTTGCTCTCCCTGACATGAGGGGAGGTGCCTGTTAGCTCAGGCTTGCTGGCCAGCTTGGGCTATGGTGCGCCTTCAGCTGTAAGTTCCTCCCACCAGACAGAGGCAGAGGCAGAGGCAGGAAACTTTCTGGTTCCTTGTCCTTTTCAGCCCATCCCTGAAAATGAGGAGCAAGCAAATGACAGAGCACTGTAGAGAATGTGTCTGCAACTCTGAGGGCTGGGCTCTACCAAGTGAATGCTGCTACGGGGTCCAATCAAAAGCAGCCAAGAGAACACTTCTAATGAGTCCCAATTTCCTCTTTCTCTCGTCATCAATCAGCTCAATGATGACACAGCCAGGAGAGCTGAGGACTGATCAGCCAGTCCAGCTGCTTCCTGCCAGTCAATAAGCACATTGCTCAGGTGGGAATTCTTTGCCATCCACTTGCTGTATCAGAGACAGGAGCTCCCAAGAGAAGACAAATCCACATTCACCACCTGTGATCCCTTTCACAGGTAAGTGCAGCTCTTCAGGTAAAGCCCATTGGTAGCTGAAAACACAGTGACCCCAAGAACCTGCACACGGTCATGTGCATCCAGCATTTTCCTAGGTCAGGTTAACTGGGCCCCTTCAGATTTCTTTAGGTCCTACCCATTTGACTAGGGGGGCCACTGAGGGAGCATGGTGGCAAATGGCCTTCCCAATCCATGGCCACACTGACCTTGCAATATAAATTAAGAATTTTTGTGTTCTGGGGCCTGACAGACCTCTCATTTCCCAAAACTGCAACCTTCTCCTTTAAGACCTGATTTCTCGGGCAGGACCATGTGCTGGCTGCATGTGGCTCTAGTTTCTCTCCCCTCCCTCCCTCCCTATGCTGATGCGCTATTTTAATGGCTGCCCCAGTTCTGCCTGTCTCTGGGATCACCTAAAGGTAGGAGAATCA